ATCAAGGCGATGGAGAGAGTTGGAAAGTACAAGGGTCCGTCATAGGAATACATCCACGTTCCTGACCAGGAATACATTCGAGCTCCTACTAGCATGGATATTTCAAATAGCGTCACATCTAATCTAAGCTTCCAACACTCACCGCACCCTGCAGTCAATCGCCTCGCAAAGACGTATCGCTCGGATGATCATTGCATAAGTGGATCCCCAGCAAACCTCGTTGTCCTGCTCCAGATTGAGCACGGGCTGCCCGCGGTAATTGGATCCATGCACCTCCTCAAAAGCAGCAGCCCGCTTGGTCGAGTAGCAAATGAAAGAGGCGAGCTCGCGGAGAAGCACCAGAGGCTCCAAGAGTTTGCTCGCCTCTTTCAATGTAGCCTCGATAGCAAGATTACAAATGTGCACAAGGCACCTATCAAAGGACAACACAAAGGTACACGGGGAGGGAGGACATGGACAAGGAGGGTAGTGGTGGCCAATGGTGAGATTGATGTTTGTTGCACCATCTCAGTCCTAGATCTAGCCCCTCACCCTTCCTCCCCGTGCTCTGAACCCCCCGGTGCTCTACCCCCCCATCCCTCCACGACCTAGGGCTTTCAATCTTGGAAAGAGCATAAGAGGCTAACCTGATGTGGAGGCCCGTCTTGAACAGTCGTGGCTGGCGGTCCCCCGGGCCCTCCCTGGACAGGTACTGCATGACTTTGACATTTGAGGAGGCGTTGTCTGTGGTTACCGCCATGGAGAGCTCCTCCAGGACCCAATCCTGGCAATCACATCAGCCGTGTGACATGGTGGCAGAGCAACAAACTTAAGGGTAACATGCCTCAGCTCAAACCCCTTTGTCAAACAATGGCTGCTCACAGCCATATACCCGCGATTGTTCTCCCACGTTCAGATATCAGTGGTATACGACATGAGCCCACAACCGTTCGCAGCACTCAGATCAACCTTGGTTTTCTCTCGTGCAAGGGTGAACCGAGTGGGAAAGACACCCTTGTCCCCACATTGCGAGTTTGCAGCCGCCATCATGCGGCGGAACTGCGTCTCATTCAGTTTATAGGGTGGGGATGGGAAGAGCAAAGGAGGAAGGACACTTGTTCACCAATCACGCTCAACGTGGCACATGGCTTAAGATGAGATGATGAAATGATGCTTCAAACAACAGTGAAAATTGTGATCTTGTTTGCGTGTGGGTGTGGTGGGGCACTCATGAATACTCACAGCAGGATGGTCGACGTTGCTGAAGGGCTGACCGGTGGCCGGAATTCAACCACAGTTTGCCATAGGTACTCCTTGTCAAAGCGTGCAATTGTCTAGTTCTCGATATTCTGCGCCCTCCACGATCGACATCACAAAAACCATATTCCAATTTTGGTTATAATTTGGTTTTTGAAGTTTGCATAGAAAAAACTAGAGCAAATTTAGAACGATGGTTGGAGTCATTTGATAGGAGCTCCGAGACTCATCGCGAGACAATGTTTGGCTCGGCTCAAGTTCGGTTTTCGCAGGCTATCTCTTTCGGATGACATTCGGCCCGAATCCGTTTTGGTATAAATTTGGGTCCAAACATTGAATTCAGCTTTCTTTAAATTTTGATCTTATGTACTACAAAATTGAATTGATTTTAACAATTTACGAGTAACATTTTTCAGCACACCGAAACAAGCAGGGTTTATCATCGTGTCAAATTCCCTACGCAATGCCGGTCCCTAAAAGCGCCCGGTAGGCAAGAACGACCTCTCCATGGTCGCCGTTGTCGATGAGGAACGTGTTGATCTACCTGGCTACTCATTCACCTGCGATGATTATCCTGCAGAACGGGCCACTCGATCTGCAGTTTAGTTCAGAGAGGGGGGTGGTTGATTAGAGGGGGTTTAGCTGGGATTCAGCTGTCACTTTGTAAGTAACCGCATAATGGACCATACATTGGCAGAACTACAAACAATGGGTTAAGTGGATGAGGCATGGGTGTACACATAGATTGTTACATCCTCACCGAGAAGAGGCCCCACGCCACCATGCGGCTCTTGAATTTGGTGAACACGACCCCATGCCTCTTGAAGGAGATCTTGAACGCATTAGCGAACAAGGGGTTGCTGAAAGGCGTCCCGGTGGTCTTGTCAAAATGGCAATCGAGGGCCCACTGTTCTGCATTTTGGTAGGGAGGGGGGAGGGGGGTGGGGGGGGGGGGGGGGTGGGGGGGGGGGGGGTGGGGGGGGGCGGCGGGGGGGGAAACGCGAGATGCTTCTAGGTTTAGGGTTTAGGCAAGTTTGCCAGAAAGTGAACGAGTTCACACCGAGAGGTTTACTGGTTGTGATTCTACCTGCGTGAGAAGAGCGGTAAAATGGGTAAGGGAGTGCGTGGGTGTTTGTGGGACCAGGACTTGCCTCAGAGTGTGTGTCCTGTAAGGACCAAGAAGGTTTGGGGTGGGGGTGGTTGCAACGGGTGGGGGATTTCGCACGTGAGTAGCGTGTGCGGCACAAAGTGATTCCCCACGAAGAAGCACATGAAGCAAATGTCGTCGAGCACTCTCTCTAAATCCATCTCCATGCTAGGCATTAGGAACTCGCTTCAGGTACTCGCGCAGCACCCAGCACTGCAGCATTTGGTAACGCAAGGAACGAGGGAGGGCAGTGCAAGAATAAGGCAGGGTTCGGCAACAGAAAACATATCAAACCTCCCATTCCAAGTCCATTATCCACCTCCACGCCCGGCATGCGGAAGTTCAGCTCCAAGTACTCTCGCAGCACCTAGCAGTGCAGCAATAGTTAAAGTGAGAGCAGGGAAAGGGCTGTAGTAGGAGGCTCAGAAAAAATCGAAACAAGGTTGTGAAACAGGCAAGAATCTCTTATTCAGCACTCTCTCCAGATCCATCTTGATGGGTTGGCACACGAAAATCCAGCCTCAGATATACCTGCGGCAATCATACTGCAGCAATCGGTAGAGCAAGATGAGGGAGGGGTCACATGGAACAAAAACAAAGATCAAGCTTGCGCACCCTGAACCCTCCCTCTCTTCAGGTCCATCTCCACCTCTGAGACTCGAAATTCCAGCTCCAGGTACACTCGCAGCAACTAGTGGTGGTGTGAGGCAACTCAACAACGACCTCATGAAGAGGTGGCACACCTCCCGTAGACAACACCCCGGGCCTAGGTTGGTAAGGGGTGCTGAGAAATCAAGTGGGAGAGTGAAAGTGTGGGTGTGCCACATCGCACGGAAGGTGTAGCTGCATTGTGACATTTGGTGGGGCATAAGGTGTTTTCGAGTTCCACATACCATCTCTGTACTCAGCTAGGAGTTGCTTGTCATTGAATCATGTTGTTGGGCGTAGCTCAAGGGGCGGGTTATCCACAAGATGGCGGTAATTGGCATGGCCCATGCCGGTGTATGCTGTTGGCCTGAGGGTGGTGTTGATTGTTGACCTTGTCGACGACATCTGGTGGTTGAAGACCAACATAATTGACTTGTCATTGTCCAGCCACAGCAGCTTCATTGACTCGAGCCCTTCTGCAGACACGTAGACAGAGAACGCTTCAAACACTTTCTTCGGTGCAGGGAAGTACCATATTTTATCCAGCGGGTTCAGAAACAGGAGCCGAGATGTGACAGTGTAGGCTTTGTGCTGCGTATGGTTGTAGGGTAAACAACAGGAAATGGGGGAAAGCAACCAGCTTTTAGAAGAGTGTCTGCGGGGCCTTAAAAGGTTGGTTAGCAACACACTGGTTAGATAGATGAATAAGGAGAATCAATTGTACGGGTCTAACTTTGAGGGGGAGACTGAGGGCGATGCGGTTATGACGGTCACGTACGAAGAGAGTTTGTGACCAGCAGTGGGTTTAGTACCCACCTCACTGCCACGCCACACCCAACCTGCACCACTCGCCATGTCACACCCCCCTGACTACCGCCACGTCACACCCAATCTGCCCCACTTGCCCCGTCACGTACCGGGAATGGCAAGCCACGTCACACCCAACCCGGCCCACTTGCCACGTCACACCCCCCTACCACGAGCCACGTCACACCCAACTTACCTGACACGTCTCGCCGCCGTCACATGCCGCTCCCGTCTAGCCTCCTCACTGCCACGTCACACCCATCCCGTGCAACTTGCTACATCACACCCCCCTGACCACCGCCACGTCACTCCCAACCCGCCCCACATGGGGAGTCACTTACCGGGAATCGCACGCCACGTCACACCCAACCAG